CGCCCCCACGCAGCCCCGGAGACCGTTTCCCATTACCGAAACGGCCAGAAATCTCCCTCTCCGAAGGCAGCTCCTGCGGGGAGCGAGCGCAGGGCAGGGAGCTCCCCAGCAGCGAGCGCGCCGCGCGCTGCCCTCGTCCCGCCAACGGCCGCGCGTTACAGCGTTCCACGAGGCAGCGCCCGCCTTCTCCCCCCGTTTCTCCCCCAAACCCCTCAGCAGCCGCCCAGGGCGGGCAGCGCTGCTGCAGGCACCAGGCGAAGGACGCGCCATGGCCGTGACTCACCCCGGTGCCCGGCCGGGCCCGGGGGTGCCGGAGCTGCTCTGCGCAGCGCGGCTCGAGGAGCCCTGGAACAGGCGCTTGTGTAACAAACCCCGAACGGCCCCGAACGGCCAGCGGGGCCCTGCCCGCCCCCCCGCAGGCCTCCTCGCATCCCCAGCACCAAAGTCCCCACTAACGCGTTTTAAGTGAGAAACGCACTATATTAAAGTGAATACTTTTATATTACAGTATTTGACGTTATATTAAAGTTTCCTGACACTTGTTTGAGACTTTGGGTAAATTCATAGGACTATCTCACTTCACTGTCTCACAACCATGATGTCAGGGACAGCTTCCTTTTGATGTCACATACTGCTAGTGGCAAATAAATAAATAAATAAATTCTGTTTATTTTTAGAAAAGGGCTCCCAAAACCAAACTGGGAGAGGTGCCAATTTCCTCAGATTTTTTTTTTGGATAAAAATCTCATTTTAGTCATGAAGGGCAATTACTAGATCCTCACGACAACTCTCCACCTTTCGGTCACCAGGTTGCCAGTGTTTTCTAACCCTTCGGTTCTCTAACCCTGCTTCAGTTCACCTCAGATCTGTGCAAGTTTTCACTGTTTTAAAAAATGAGACCTCTCGTGTAAGAGGTCTCATTGATTAAATATTTAGATACATTGATTACTGGAACCACAAGAAAAAAAAAAACTTCCTTTTTTGATCTGATTAACCAATATTTCTAATGGATTATTTGACACTTGAAAACAAACTCAGGTATTTTATAATCAGTAGTTAGGGAGCAGAGAGCTCATTTGAGAAAGTACTACTTTACCATAAAGGAACAGAAAATTAAAAATAAATAACTCTTTCTAACATATTAGATCTAACAGATCTAACAGATCTAATATCACACAAACAAAAAATCACACGATCAAAACATCTTTTTAAAAACATTATATTAGATCTAACAGATCTAATAGATCTAACAGATCTAATATAATGTTTTTAAAAAGATGTTTTGATCGTGTCATTTTCAATAGGCAAACTTATATTCTGTATTGTATATTGTATTATTACACACATTTGCATACCTCAATTAAAATTGAAATACTATGAAAATCTGCATCACATAAGTGGTTAAAAACATATTATATATATTGATATAAATATTGTTATGTATATTTATATAATATAAATTAAAATATTATATATTATAATATTATATAAAACATTATTTTATAAACCAAATTAAATCCATAGGGCCAAGGTACATTGATCTTTTAAAACAAATCTATTTGACAGCAAAAATCTCTATTAAGGACTCGTTCCTAAAATATATATATAAAAATATTAAATAAAAATTTATAAATGACTGTAACATGATTTCATTTAGGGCACCCAAAAATCTCTTCCTGGTTCTGACAGATGTTCAATTTAATAAAGGCCTAGACTAGCAGATCAGGTTGTCTCGGCCTCCCTTTGCTCTCCCGTGGTTAGCAATGTTTCTCCTTGAAATGCGATGCCTTTTCCTGGGGCTGTTTTTCTACTAGACTGCATCAATTGCCTCACTTCAATTAGCAGCAGCAGTTTTACTTGCCGGGGAAGGATTAAACTGAGCCTGTTTAGAGCCACCCAAGTCTCATGTAACTGCCTGGTAAATATAACAATTTCTAGTTAGTGCTCTTTTTGTAAGTTAGCGATCTTTTGTACATATAGCTTTGGAGGACAGTAATTCAAGAAATACCTTTCCCGATGACGAAAACTAGCACTGAAGCATCTTGCCACAAGCAATCCCGATGTGATATACTGAAAGATGAACTGGTAAGGCTCGCCAGGCTGGTGGTTTTTTCCCCTCTGTAAAATAAAAACATGCAGAAACAAATGAAAGAGTAATTCTTTTTTTTTTTTTTAATGTGCGTAAAGAGCATCTTACAGCTGGTCTCAGACCTGGTATTGGTCGGTGTTTGACAATACCAGATCCACTGAAAGCAGTAAACTGTCTCTTAAAAACCTCAGCTTGTGAGTCAACAACAGACCAGAAATTAAATTAATGATTCCTTAATTTAATCAGTAATTATATTATTTTATCCTACGCCCTGCTGAGAGAACCTAGCTTATGCAAGTGTTTCCCTTTATGAACTGCATCCCTTTGACTACACATACTAAAAGTAACCAGATGCATGAAGTGACCAAACCCTCAAATGTAATGACTTGCTTTAGTCCTTAACAGTGGTCTAAGAATCTTAAGCTCTACCTGGCAAAGACAGCTTAACAAAGAGAAGCAATACACTTGTGTGTGGATAGAGATTTCAGGAAATCACCTTGCAAAAAGCCCAGCAACACTAAAAATTAATGCACAACACATGGCAAAAATGGTTCAGAAACAGCCCTCTCCCTCTTGAGCAGCTCTTCCCAACCACAGCACCCCGCTCTCCGCACTGCTCCTGTGCGGCCCCAACAAGCCTGGGCTTGCTCCAGACAGGAGCTCCTCCGCATCCCTGTCCCGGTGCTCCCGGGCCCCTCCGATGAGGAACTTCCCCACTCAGCAGCCTCGGAGCCTGCGCTGCAAGAGAAACCGCCCCACTTGCCATGGGGTTTTATTTCTCCCCTTCATCACTACTATGTCACTTCAGTTTGGACTTGCAAGAAGTACAAGCTTTGCAAATATTGTTTAATAATTTATTAACTTTCTCCCATTGAATGGTACATTTGCTCAAGAGGACTTAAACAATTTCCTGGTAATTTTATTTACAGTCTGCAGTGTTCTGTGAGACACAGTAATGATTACAGACTAAAACATACAATGTACATTCTCAAACATTTAAATAAGCACAGTTTATTCAAAAGTAATTCTACACACTACTTTTTTTCCATAAAAATATAAAAAATAGTTACTATATTTTACATAAACCAGGATATTTAAGGTTTCTTCCACATGTGATGCCCCCTCCCAAAAAAAGGGAACTCCAATAGCAAGAAATTTAGGAGTCCGCATCACTAATTAAAATACTAATACCAACTGCTTAAATCCACCACAAGAGTAAATTAGTATCATTTTGCAACCAGCAGCAAGTGTTCTGCAGTTATGTTTGTTTTTTTTTTTTGCACTAACTTGCTTCTCTCATGCCAGATTTTCAGAGACACTTGCACACTTTATCACATAAAAATAACAGACTGATAATACTGCAGACTATAAGGTCAGCCACCATGTGTCCAACAACATGGATTGGTAATCTTGTATTACACAACATTTTTTTGCAAAAAATATCAAGAGAAACACCTTCCCTCGGGAACTCTAAAGGCGACACCTTTTCTTACAGGATATTGAGTGAAAATAGCCTTTCTCTCCTCTCTCTGTGAAAATAGTGCCCATTTTTGCTTGTTCCTACTATGTCTCTAGTTTTATTGACCATATTCTGCACAGAAAGCTAACTGAGTTTTGAAAAACAACACTCAAGCCCTTTTCTCACTAGGATACATTTAATTTACAAAAAAGGCACAAAGATGAAACTCTTAAGCAGCATCAGTCATACTTGCTCCACCATGCACTGCTCCTCTTTCTCACTCAGAGGCTACTGCAAGAGACTTTCCTCTTCTCAGAGTATTACAAATACACGAGCTAAGGATACAGGTGAAGTTGAAAAGACTAAAGCCTTCGCACAGGATAAGCAGTATATTGATCATTAACCAATGAGCACTACTAGAAGTTTTATGTGGTGATTAAGACTTAACCTGGAAGCATCAGGAAAAGCCATCAGGAAAAAAAAGAAAAAAGCTCAGCAGCAAACAATACATTTGTTAACAGTGAGATGGAAGTCCCTTGTGTGCAACATTGTGCATTCAATTTCAACAAACAATGACAGTGCTCTGCAGCCAGCAGCGTAAACCTTTTGCTTCTAAACAGTTTAGAGGATTTTCTAAATGCAAGTGAAGCTGCCAAAACAGAATAGTAGTATATGATGCGCAGCATGATCTGCAACAAAAAGCTTTTGCTTTCCATCATGTAAACATTGGGGTTACTGGATCTTAGCTCATATAAACAAATCTGATGATAGATTTTTAACTAAAAAAGTAAAATTTTCCATAAAAGGATTAATCACAAAAATACTCTTTCAGGAAGTCTCACATGCCATTTCATACCTTTTATGTCATATGAACAACTATGCAAAACACTTAGAAAGTTTTAGCCGTAGAAATGTTGACCAGTTAAACCATTTGGCAATAACGTGTTCAAAACACCTTTGAAGAATGTTTGCGTTCACCAAGATCAGTTCTACACTTTACCCCACTATTTCTTTTTCTTTTTCTTTGGCGGCTCCTCATCAGAACTGCTGTCTGTGCTGCTGCTGCTACTGCTGGAGGAACTGGAATCGGACTCGAACTCTGAAGAAGAGGAAGTACTACTCGAAGAGGAAGATGATGAGGCAGTAGAGGAGCTCTCATCACTGTCGCTGTCTTCATCAGAAGAGGAGGTAGAGGAATCTTCACTGTCAGATGAGGAGTCACTAGCTGAACTGGCACTGCTACTGCTGCTGGAACTTGTCACACTTTTAGATCTGAAAGAAAGCAAACACGCAGATGAGAGCAGGCCAGCCAGAGACAGTATTACCAAGTGTTCTTTATACTCTGGTGCAATCCAAAGATCAATTATTTGGGCTGAAAATTTCTACATCTGACTCGATCTTAGGGACAATTAGCCTTCCCCACTCCCCCTCTTCCATTCTGCACAAGTGCTTTTTTTTTTTTTTCTTCACTATTAAAGCAACAGCAGAATGACACCATGCATGTGAAGTAAAATCTCCTGAACAAACTCAAAAGCCAAAACAAGACTACAGAGAAAGAGAGTTAAACTTGAAAGCTGGCAGGATCTTGTTCATAGTAATGGCTGCTGCCTCTGCTGAAAGAGCTAGAGAGAAGAATATGAATGTCGTAGATTACTATGGGCTTGGGAAAAACTAAAAGAACAGTCCCCTGGCACATCGTTGTAATAGGAAGTCAAATTTTGACTCTGTTAAACCTGGTGGAAGTTCAGCAACTTCACAAATGTTGGGATTGTGCTCAGAGCCTGTTCTTAGATTACTCATGGCAAAAGAACCCGAACTACCTGCTAAGCTTTGAGGGTGGGGAAGAAGGGGTGGCCGCCCCTGGGGAAGTCCCAGGATGAAGACAAATGTGAGTATTGGAAAGTAGATATGCTATGGATTTCTGCATGCTCTGCAATTTTCTTTTCATGCAAATAAAAAAAATACTAAATTTATGAAAGGCTGCTGTTCTTGCAATTTCATGGCCTTTGAATGAACAATATAGCATGAAATCCAAGAAAATACAATTACTTTCTCCTATAGATCTTTGTCCAAGAGAAGTGTAAATGTACTAATTCACTCCCATCTTCCCACCAGCTAAAACTACTGACTATCACTTCGACAGCAAGCAAAAATGCTTGATATAATAATTTAGACTTGTCCTTCTATTAGGAAAAAATGAAGTCCTGAGTGACAACTTAGGAAAGGCCTAATACAGCTGACATCTTCCTGAATCCCAGAATGGTTGTGGTTGGAAGGGACCTCTAGAGATCATCTAGTCCAACCCCCTGCTCCAGCAGGGACACCCAAAGCACAGCGTGGCATTCAGGCAGGTTTGAAGATCTCCAGGGAAGGAGACTCCACAGCCTCTCTGAGCAGCCTGTGCTTTCCCTCACAGGAAAGAAGTTCTTCCTCACATGGAGATGGAACTGCCTGGGTTTCAATTTGTCAATTTGTACCCCTTGTCCTGTCCCTGGCCACCACAGAGAAGAGTTTGGCCCCATCCTCCCCACATTCATCCCTCAGGTACTTGTTGATCAGATCCCTCCTCAGCCTTCTCTTCTCCGGGCTAAACAGGCCCCACTCGCTTAGTCTTTCCTCACACGACAGATGCTCCAGTGCCTTAATCATCTTTGTTGCTCTACGCTGGGACCTCTCTAGCAGCTCCACATCCCTCTTGTCCTGGGGAGCCCAGAACTGCCCCCAATACTCCAGGTGCCTCCCCAGAGCTGAGCAGACAGGCAGGATCCACTCCCTCGACCTGCTGGCAACTCTCCTGATGCAGCCAGGAGCCCACTGGCCTTCTTGGCCACCAGGGCACTCGTGGTGCGCTCGTGATCTGCTATCTGTGTGTACACAGATAAAAAGACTGATTAAAAAAAAAATCCAAAGGCTGGTTAAATACATGCTTACTGCTGGAAAAAAGAGAAATGTCAAGATTAGAAAAAACAAATTAATGCAACTAACAGACTCATTTTAAAGGGGCATTTAGGCTTTTGGAGGGAAACTGCTAAGCAGACCAGTAAGTTCAACAAAGGTGCTTCATTGAGGTGCAGGCCCACTGGCATGGGAACCAGCCAGGGAACAAGAGGCACCAAATGCTGGGTTTGGAGTTCTGCCTGCTTCCTCCCACTCTTCTCCAAGGCTTTGTCCTTTCTAGTTTTGGGGACATCACCTACCAAGAAGGTGGTGGTGTTTTTAAACACTACTTAACAGTGCAGTGTTGGGCACAATCACAGCCAGGGGCCTCAGGGAGCAAATGAATTAGGACGAGATTTTAGTCTTCAGACAGGTAGGATTAGATATGATCCAAGGATGAAGGTGTTTTGGATTCAGAACCAAACCACCATATAGGAACCATAGAGGAAGCTAAGCATGCCCAGAACAAAGCTCTGTGCCACCTAAGGTACAAGGCAGTTTTGCCTATTCCTGTTTTTCTGGTTAAGCCTGTAGGTTAGTTGTTACTGTTTATATCAAAACAAACATACAGTATGCAAAAGGTTAGTGCTCACTGTGAGATCTTAGCCTTTGCATTTCTTTAGCCTGGAATTTACATATTCAGTGGTAATGCTTTACAGAGTTTTAAGTATTTAATTCTTCCTGCATCCCAGTAGAAAAGTTGCATACCATCTGGAAAGGAATTATATTGATGATCCTGGGCTTGTATAAATACAAGATAACAAATCAAACCTAACAGTAAGACTTTAAGGAAAAAAGCCAAACAAGTTCCCCCAAATAATCATTTCTTTTTCCCCCCTTCCTTCTCAAATATGCTGAAAATCATTATGCCAGATAGAAGAGTTCAGCATGTGAGAAACCTGAGCAAGGAAGACATTTGAATTACATTCATTTAATTTACAACTTCACAAGCCCATAGTAATTCCCAAAATAAGCGGCACTATTGAGAAAGGAGTCTTCAATACAATTTACTCCAACAGTAGAATCAAGATCCTGGCAAGGAAGCATTCCAGTAAAGCCACACAACACAACAGCCTAAAATAAAGGCATATTTTAAAGAAACTACTCTGGCCGATTTAATGATTGACACATAAAACAAAAGGTCCAGTCTAAGAAAGAAAAAAAAAAAAGCAAAGTCCTTTTTGTTTGTTTGCTTTTTTTTTTTTTTTTAAACAAAGCAGGATTTGGAGACGGGGACAGCCAACTTGGTGCAGAGAGACCAATGAGGCCATTACTGCAGTCAACCCCGAAGGTAAAACTCATGACACGGTTACCACAAGCGTTGCAACCAACCTTCGAGCTGTTCCTGAAAGGATTTTGTTAATAAATATTAAAGTGATTCCGGAGCTAACAGTACCACAAAATTACAGTGGGAATAACATCAAGAGAGTTCTTGGTTCAAATTGGGATTTTTCCTCTCTTTTAGTAGTGAGAGAATGGAGGATTTAGTTCCCATGTTTAAAAAAAAAAAGAAAAAAAAGAAAAGAGATACTGCAGCCCTACACAAACTTTCTGTGGCAGATGACTGTGAAGAGAATGGAATGAACAGAACAAAAGGAAGAGCAAGATGAGTAGGTGGAGTGATTGCAGATTAGAAAAGTGTGCCATTCTTGCACAATTGTTTAAAGTACCTTACATGAACTCTGAGGGAGAAATAGGAAGATTTTTATTACTAAAGCAAGATCATAAGAGATAGGGCAAGCAGTAAGGAAAAAAGCAAAAGACAAGATTTAGAGCCTTTGGATAGAGAAGAGAAACTCACGAAATATCTCCCAATCGAAAGGCCATGGCAGGTTAAAAGCAGAAAAAAAAATCAAACCTGCATTTGCAGCATTCAATTTCCCCACACACCCCCTCCAAATTGCCAACTGCAATTACGAGTGCAAGACACACACCAAAATAGCTACACAATTTGGTATTGTTTCCCACATACCTTTTTTTGTTGGTCTTTCTTTCTGCAGTACTTTCTCCAGTGCTAGTTAAGGGGGAAAAAAAACACAACTTTGATTAATGAAGTAGGAAAATAAATAGCAGCACAATGGACCTCAGTTCAATATTAGTAAACTGGTATCCCATTGGTGAGAGAGCTGCACCCCAAAGATCATGTGGCATCTCCATTTTCAATCTCTTCTCAACCAAGAAAGAAGAGAATCCCTACAGATACAGGAAAAGAAACTGGCAGTTCACCCCTAATTTACTCTTCTTTACCTCTTTACTCTTCATATTAGAGGGACAGCATCGATACAGGATGAGAAAAGCAGGGAGGAGAAAAATAAAAGAAAATTCTGCATACCTACATTCAGCAGTAACTGAACTGCTTGAAATCAAGGGTTAAGAGACTGAATCAGTCTCTCAAGCACAATAAAGGCAGAGTAGTCTGCTATATTCACACTGCCCAGCTGTTCTTCTTTCAGATTCTCAGGTACTCACAAACTCACGTGAAATGAGCTGTTTTGATACAAGTGATATATTATTCTCTTTAAGAGCTCTCCTCATCTCCTACATGAGCTTTCTAGGCAAGAGAAAGATTCATTGAACTTGGAACCAGGATATTATCCCTCTCATCTTACCGAATATTTTTACTATTTGTATTATCAGGGCCATACACCCTTATTACAGGTAATACAGGTAACAAGCTCTTCCACAGGCCAGAGGTTGAACAAGGTCACTGTGGGTGGATGGAATGAGAATAAAAACCACCCTCCAGAAGGCAGGACCTAACTTTGTGCCTAACCCAGGCTAACACAGCACATGGTTCTGCCACCCTCTAGTGTTTAACATCCACATAAATGAATGAAGGACTTCACTCCTCCAAGGAACTATACAACTGGAAGAAGTCAATCCCTGCAGGTCAACAAACCCATTTCACCATGCTTGGTTACATGGTCCCTCTGCTGCCACACTCTGCTCTCAGGACCACAGATAAAACTCAAGCTTTCCAGCTCCACTTCAATGTAATATTCAATGTAACAGTCAATGTAATAATATCACTACGAAATAAATATTCTCTGACCTTTCTTTTCTTCCCTACTCTAGGATGGGGAAGCAACAGGCTTTACTGAATACATTAAGCTAAACCTCCATAACAGGAACTATGGGTTCATACTGGGTAAAAAGGATTCTGGAACAAGTGCTGAAATAAGTTAACACTGAAAAATCTTCTAAGTGTTTGTTAGAAAAATAACAGAGCCTTATTGCGTTGCATTTGCATTCTGCTTAATGATATTAAACCCTTAAAGATGATACAAACATTCGGAAGCCGACCAGCAGCAGTACCTTTGCTGCAGATAAGGAATGACAGGCCAACACAAGCTATAAAAATAATTAAAAAAATCATCTAATAAGTTGTTATTTCCACAAGGAATAAGCTTCATTCTTGAAAGTGATATTGATATTTAGGGGACTGGATGCCTCAAGACACAGTTAATGGACTTCAGAGGGCTTATGGCTGTGCAATGAGTATGAATCCAGCCCAAACTAGGAGACATTTACTCATCCCTTTATAATACAAGCAGGAAACACTACTCCTGTTTGAAACATTACGGTTTCAACTATTTTAGCATTAGCCTAATGCACTTTTTTCATTTCAAGATGCACTGTAAGTCTGTAGGTTGCCTATTTTAGATAAGCAAGTGTCAAGAAACAGCCCCTTAACTTTGCGTGACCTGAGTGTATAGGCACTGCTTGTTGCAGACAACAGTTTTAATATTAACATGTATTACACAAATTGAAAGAAGACAAAGTGTCTAGGACATCACCTTTCACCCTCACACATAAATTTTTTTTGGTGTGTAAAGTGGGCATTTTCACCCTGCAAGTCTTACCTTTGTTGCAGCAACAGTCGCTTTTCTTTCTCTTTAAGAGCTTTTGCTAATAGAGCTGTCCTCGAAGGTCTGTGCAGGTATTTCCTCTTCCCTGTACATTCATACGTCCAGTGGCCAAACTCTAAACATTTTTGACATCTTACATGCTGCTTGTTTGCCTCCCTATAAAAATGTAGAATTGCTTAAGTGACTGATTCCAAGTCTGTTCTACCTATTGAAAAAATATGAATTATTTTGTAGCATATGTATTCTTCAGACCATATACAGTTATGATTATAATTAACCCAGGCTGATGTCCACGGGTGCTTTAGTTACTATATATCCTGAATTAGGACAAGAACAGTAACATCAGACACTGGAGAGGTACAAGTTTACAGGTACATACTGAGTTTTGCCAGGCACATGTTCTTCCAGTTAATAAAATGGTCCCATATCAAAGCAGAGTCACTTCCTCTATTCCAGAGCTTCAGCCTAAATCGTCTTCTGCTGAAGTAGCAAATGCTGAACACTGATATCAGCTGTCACTGATCCACTGCACTTGATTGCACTTTGGTTTTCTAAAAGTTTCTGGTCAGCCTAACTTCCCCCACTTCTTAGATTCCATAAACTCCCATCCCCTCCCGACATTTCAAGCAACCTAACAGCCTTCAGAATGTTGAACAGGACTATTCTCTCAGCAAACAGTGATTAACCTTATCACCCACACCCCATTTTGGTAAACCCAACTGGCAGAACTTTCAGCTTTATAGAATACAATTGGCTCTAATGCTACTCACCTGACCAAGAACCTAAGAGCAACATAAGTACCAGGAAGAACAGAACCAAACAGCCCAACAGCTGCACATTTACAGATACAGGACCAACACTGACAAGTCTTAACACTACTGAAAAGATCAAAACTAAAGCAAACTTACAACACACATCAATTATCACACCCTAGAAGCAAATATTAGTAGACATGACTCCCATGTTCCCATCAGGCACATGGAAACATAAGAAATACAAGATTTAGTTCCATGACCAATACAAAATAGCAATGTGGAAGAACAAATATACCGCAAGTAATTTGAAATTCTGAATACTTTTTCTATTGGAAAGTAGGAAAGTGATTGTACTAGCTAATAAGAAAGCAAAGAGAAAGCAAAAAACATTCGCATTGTATCTAAATCTCATGAACAGACCAAAACCAACAAGGACCACAACAACAAAGTCCCCAAACAAAGCATCTCACCCCAAAACAAACAAACAAACAAACAAAAAAGGCAGAATGAAACACCTAAAACATGACAATGAAACACAGGCATTTGCTGTTCTTAAAGCCAATAACCAAAAACATTGGCTTTTCCTCTTTTCAGTGTTTGGCAATCAGATCTCTCGGATGTTTTGAGAATTACTTGAAGGTAATAAGCAAGACTGAGTAAGGGTGCCTGCTACTTTCCCTTCTGCCCCTTTTTACACCTCAGCAAACGCCACGCCATGGGCCTGGAAGTTATTTGTTCCCCCAGACCTGACTTGCTCCCACCTGCGGCCCGGGTCCCACCATGACCGGGGGGACACAAGAGCTTTTTACTCTTTTACTTTACTAAAGCGTCAGTCGTTGCAATTACTTAAGAAACAAAAAGGAAACCACCTGGTGTGCCGGACACAGGGGAAAGTTTGGGGGGTTATTTTTCTGTTCTGCGTCGTTTTTAAGCAAGATGAGCCCTCAAACATTTTATCTCTCCCGAGCCCCTCTAAACCCTTCAGCTCCCCCAGGACGAGACCACAAACCCCCAACCGAGCAGCTTTTAGGAGAAACGCGGGGCCCTTCGTGCTCAGGGCACAACCGACACCCCCAGAGCCGCCGGCTCCGAGCGACCCCGCCGCGACCGCCCTGGGCACCGGCGAGGGGGGCCCGCGCTGCACGAAACTGTCCCAGAAAGAGCCTGGTGGCGGGAAGGGGCCCCAAGAAGAGCCCGGGGCGCGAGGGGCGCCCGGGGGCGGGAGCGGCGCCGCCGCACTCACGCCTGTCTCCGCGCGATGAGGCGGTGCATGGGAGTCGCCATCTTCGCGGCGCGGGCGCGAGGCGAGGCGGCCGCCGCGCTGCATGCCGGGACACTGCCCCTCCTCCCGCCCCCCCATTGGGGGAGGGCGGCGCCGCCGCCACCGAGAGCGGAACCTCCCGCGGCCAGAGGGGACGCGC